GAAACTTTCAAGACAAACTCAACTGAACCACATTCGTTCTTCAATAAAAAAACGTTTCCTGGATATGCAAATGTAGCCCAGAAAGTTGAGATTGGGGCTGAATATCCGTGAGAAGTTTGATTTCCTTCCTCGTCTACCCTAAATACATTATATTTCCTAGATGTATCATTTCTAATGCTAATATCCACAAGTTCATGTCCATCAAATCTTGACCTAATTAATTTCCAATCCTCCTCACGAGCTTTTGTCATCTTGCAAATTGTTACGTGTTTTGATTGGTCCTCAATTATTTCTTCCTCTATCTCCTCCACTTGATCACCCACTACAATTTCTTCATCATCTTCATCAACCATTTTCCCATCCCTCTCCTCATCATACATAAATGTTCCAGGAACAACCTCAAAATAATCAACAGTCTCTTCTGTCGGAACAAAAATCGATACAACCTCCCTCTTCTCATCATTCATTCTTCTCATTATGAAAGGATGAGTAGCACCAGCTTGCTGACAACATTTCCCGCCAGAATTTAAAACTGTAAACGGTTGTTCATTTCCCTCATAATCAATCCAAATCATTTGAATGGGCTCGGAAAGAGTGTTATGGAAAATGATTGGACATTTGTGATCCCATCTCTTGGCACATAGTTTTTTCATTTTTTTAATTAAAACGTCTCAAAAAAAATGTCGTACCACCCAGTAACTACACTGTTGACCCTGAGACCACAGTGTGTTGCCGCAATACTTACGTCGGGTTAAGTCACCGTACCCTATACTACCCGGGGTTCCAGCATAGGGTGTTCAAGCCAAGTATTTGTGTCCACAGAGTTACAAGAAATGAACAAAGCAATCCCAACAAGAAAGAATTTATTATTTAATATTCGTAATATCATCAAGACGAACCCGTCGGGTTCATACGATTAATAAACGTTTAAATTTTTTTTCTAGATTTGATTGAGAAATTGATTTGGTTTCGGAGCATTAAATAATATTCGCCTCTACATTTGTTGGGTTCAGAAAAAGTTGAAAGTTTGTTGTTCGAAATCAAGTGATGTTGTTATTTCTCAATTGTTGAATTGAGTTTGAGTTTGACAATTTCCATCTCTGATTTGTGAACTCGCCTTACTTCCTCTTTCATTTCCTTATATTCTTCTG